GCCTTTTAAATTCACTGTGTGAGAGAAATAGAGAGGTTCCTTCTTGAAATGAGAGCACAAAGTTGGGGAGGATAATGAAATTCTATTAGACAAACATCGGATTAATTGCTAACTAACGGTAGTAACAAATTTTCTGTTAAAACAAGAATTTCGATTAGATTTTTCGTTAAAAAAAAATATATTCCGTTTCATAGACACTTTTTATATGTAGAAAGATATAAGAATTGTTGGATTTTAAATATTATTGTACCAATTTTAATGTGAGGGGTGGCGGCAGGGTGTTGGAATATAGCCACCCTTAGATGTAACCTTCACTACAAGGAGCCATTAATTTGGACTTCGCCATATCATTATGGAACAACCCTACCCCCACACCTCCACCAGTCACTAAATTACTTATTATAGTACAATAATGCAAATTAAAGCAAGCATTAGCCTGCTCAAAGTTAGGTAAAAAAGAATAATCAATATGCATCACATGTAGCTAGTTTGGCAATTATTGGATACCTTTTAGGAATTTCGACTAAATTGAAATGACATATTATCTTTATCTTATTCAATTACACATTTATATTTAAGCGTATGCATTTGGAATATAAAATTAGATGTAACTAAAAAAATATAATAAAAATAATTAATTTTATTTTTCTTCGATACCATCCAGTCGTACTTACCAAGCGTACCATATGATTAGGTTTGTTTTTAGTCCATTACACAAGGTTAACCAATCGTTAATAATATGTTTAACGAGATAGATCGTACATAACTCGATATTCTTGGACAAGAAATAGAAATTAAAATTTCATCTTTTATACCATTAAATTTTATGCATTACTAGTGTGTTACCAAAACATGTGAATTGTTTTTTAGATTTACTAATTATAATATGGCTAATGGCTAAAATATCTTTAAAAAGTTNTTAGTATTGGTAGCAAGTGGCGATGATAAAGATACATTTCTTTTATTAGGATTAGTGATGAGTCAAGTCTGCAGATGAATTCGAGCATATCAAAGAGGTCGCGATAAACCTTATTGATAAGAATGGAGTAATCATTAAATAATACGATTTTGACCTGAATTGGCGTTTCGAAAAGTCACACATTTGGATGCATTGCATTATATCAGGTTCCCATTGCCTTTGTCACACTGAAAGTTCAATACAATCAGATAGTCCAAAAAAAGAAAAATGAGCAAACATTGAACCTTTGAAAGTCAATCAATTTGCTAATAATTTTGGGGTCCTTCCCCAAAGCCTCATGCCAGTCATGACTATGTTGACTGTATCTGATTCTTATCTTCAAAAAAAATAATGTCTCATACATAGATTCATCTCATCTATAAAGAATTTTCCTCGGCAAATTATGAATATTCCTTCGTTGGCCCACTCAATTAAAACTTTATTGGCATGAATGATACCATTCGACCACACATTCACCCAACTTGACATCGTCCGCCCACATCTCATAAATTCACGTAATTTTGTATGCATATTTGTGCAGCTCTAATGCGTTAGTACAACTTTTGGATATTGTTAGTTATGTGAACCCACGTAGCAATCAGCCCAATAAATTATTGAATCGAAAAATCAAGACAATCATCAACAATATCTTAATCCCATGATCATAAAACTTATGAACCTTACTTAAATTGACGAACGCCACAAGAATTTAATTCTTGATAAGTTCGGAGTTAATATAATGAAGAACAAATAGAAAGTAATATGCCTTATAATAATATCACCCAAATTGCTTACAATGAAAATAATAACCCTATTTATATGGAACACATAAAACCTACTTAAAAAGGGGATTAAACCTTAAAAATCACAAAATATATCACAAAATAGAGTTTTAATGAAAATAGAAGATTGCGCGAAATTTGAAAAATTCGCGGCCAAAATATACTATGCTGCCGCATAGTGTATAGACCAACAGATGTCCTCCTCCGTGGTTTCGGTGAAGGGCGCGGTCGACAACTATGCGGTTGCATAGTTGTACCATCCAACTTCTCCGTCTATTACTTGAATCAGGTTGATCCACTTCGTTTCATCTCCCATGTCCAACATGAAACTTGTCCATTTGCTGCTTGTGATCAATGTTTCATCCACCGTGACTTGAGCAAGTAGTCACATTGTTTCTTTGCTCCGCTTCGTTCGCAACCTAGTCATAAGCCCTTCATCAACGATCAATGGATCATTGCGCGAAGTTGCATTCGTATCAAAGATCATATCAGAACGAAAATTATATGTACAGTAAAATTGCATTGATTACTAGTCTACATCATAAATTGGAGACTGTTAAATATTATATTATGTTCATAATTAAAATGATTTTGCTAATTATAATGTAGCTAGTTTGGCAATTATTGGGTACCTTTTAGGAATATCGACTAAATTGAAATGACATATTATCTTTATCTTTTTCAATTACACATTTATATTTAAGCGTATGCATTTGGAATATAAAATTAGATATAACTAAAAATAATAATAAAAAATAATTAATTTTATTTTTCTTCGATACTATCTAGTCGTACTTACCAAGCGTACCATATGATTAGGTTTGTTTTTAGTCCATTACACAAGGTTAACCAATCTTTAATAATTTGTTTAACGAGATAGATCGTACATAACTCGATATTCTTGGACAAGAAATAGAAATTAAAATTTCATCTTTTATACCATTAAATTTTATGCATTACTAGTGTGTACCAAAACATGTGAATTGTTTTTTAGATTTACTAATTATAATATGTCTAATGGCTAAAATATCTTTAAAAAGTTTGTTTAGTGGCCAATAAATCAATTAGTGGGGGTGGTGTTATCATTGACTTATGATGTTTTACCAAAAACGTGCGACAGCGCGTGCACACACATATATATGTGCGCGCGCAAATACACACACATATAATCCATGTAATGCCAATTGTCAAATGCTTCATACAAAATTTAGTGGTGTTTATTACTTAGGTATTTTAAAATATTTAGTATTTCATTAATAACAGGTTATAGTTTCTTCTTCTTTTTTTTTTTTTTTTTTTCATCAAGTGATTTTGCGTGCTAAATCGAGGTTGTTATTTTTAGTATTGGTAGCAAGTGGCGATGATAAAGATACATTTCTTTTATTAGGATTAGTGATGAGTCAAGTCTGCAGATGAATTCGAGCATATCAAAGAGGTCGCGATAAACCTTATTGATAAGAATGGAGTAATCATTAAATAATACGATTTTGACCTGAATTGGCGTTTCGAAAAGTCACACATTTGGATGCATTGCATTATCAGGTTCCCATTGCCTTTGTCACACTGAAAGTTCAATACAATCAGATAGTCCAAAAAAAGAAAAATGAGCAAACATTGAACCTTTGAAAGTCAATTAATTTGCTAATAATTTTGGGGTCCTTCCCCAAAGCCTCAAAAAAGACTGCCAGTCATGACTATGTTGACTGTATCTGATTCTTATCTTCAAAAAATAATGTCTCATACATAGATTCATCTCATCTATAAAGAATTTTCCTCAGCAAATTATGAATATTCGTTCGTCGGCCCACACAGTTTAATACTTTATTGGCATGAGTGATACCATTCGACCACACATTCACCCAACTTGACATCGTCCGCCCACAACTCATAAATTCCCGTAATTTTGTATGCATATTTGTGCAGCTCTAATGCGTTAGTACAACTTTTAGACATTGTTAGTGATGTGAATCCACGTAGTAATTGGAGTAACGAAATCCACAACAGATTAGATCAAACTCAAGAAAGTCAAGAATCACTATTTGAAAACTCGACCCAATAAATTATTGAATCAAAGAGTCAAGACAATCACCAACAATATCTTGATCCTGTGATCACAAAACTCATAAACCTTACTTAAATTAATGAATGCCATTATAATTTAATTCTTGATAAGTTCGGAGTTAATTTAATGAAGAACAAGTAGAAAGTAATATGCCTTACAATAACATAACTCAAATTTTGTGTTTTAAAATGAAAATAATAACCATATTTAAATAGAACTTATAAAACCTACTTAAAAACGGAATTAAGCTTTAAAAATAACAAAAAATGTCACAAAATAGAATTTTAATTAAAATAGAAGATTGCGCGAAATTTGAAAAATTCGAGGCCGAAAATATACTATGCTGCCGCAAAGTGTAATTCTATGCAGTCACATAGACCAACTGATGTCCTCCTTTGCGATTTCGGCAAAAGGGCATGCGCTGGACAACTATGGAGTCGTATAGTTGTTCCGTCCAACTTATCCGTCCATTACTTGAAACAAGTTGCTCAGCTTCGTTTCATCTCCCATGCTCAATATGAAACTTGTCCATTTGTTCACCGTGATCAATGTTTCGTCCATCGTGGTTTGAGCAAGTAGTCACATTGTTTCTTTGCTCCGCTTCGTTCGCAACCTAGTCATAAACCCTTCATCAACGATCAATGGATCATTGCGCGAAGTTGCTTTCGTATCATGGATCATATCAGAACAAAAATTATATGTACAGTAAAATTGCATTGATTACTAGTCTACATCATAAATTGGAGACTGTTAAATATTATATTATGTTCCTAATTAAAATGATTTTGCTAATTATATATAAAAATATATATATAAGCGGTTATCAGAAATGATGTGGAATAAAAAAATTGAATGAAAAAGTGGATTGTATTTTAACTAACAAAATATTTGATCAAACAACTCCGGCCAAAAATATGGCCATTACCCTTTATAATTTATTGAAAGAAAGGAGTTCTTTTCACAGCACACGACTCTTAGGTAATTGTCGTCATGGTCAGTCCAATGCCAAAAGTATACAAATCAAGTGGACTAATGGCATTACATTTTCTGTGGACAATTTGGCAACCACCCTAAAATTAAAGGAAACCTTACGCCTGCCTGTCTAATAATTTACAAATTCTTAGAACTTAATCTAATTTCATAAAACTACAAATTGTAAAAAGAATTACTGCTACAAATTGAGACTGTAATTCAGTTTTCAATTATCCATGAATCTGAGCCAAGGCAACCATTTCTTCATAGGTTTATCATCAGCTTCCTTTGAACAACTGGAAGAGGCAGCCATGTTCGCGGCGGAGCTGCCACTTGCCGCTGCTGCAGCAGTCGTCCCCTTTGGGCATAGAAAGAAATTTCTTGACCCCAACGCCATTAGCTTCTCCTTCCTGTCCAAACCTGTCCATGCCACTCAACTAGTTAGTACCTCTTATTTCATGTATATTATTATTAACAAATCATAAATCAAATTGAAAATACAACGGCTGCAATTGATTAAAAAAAGAAAGTGAGAGATTAATTACTTTCTAAGCTAAACTGGGAATAATGGAGACCGAAGCCAGATGAATCGGCCGAGGAGATAATCGGCCGCCGGCCTTCTTTCGCATACTGTCGTAGAGCGGCCTTAATCAAGTCATCCACCGTTGCATCCGGCGACATCAAAACCTGTAAAGCTCCAAGGCTCCTCTGAATCGTCACGTTAAGAAGCAACTTCGTCAGTTTCGGCTTTCCCTGCGCCACCCCCAAATCAGTCGAACTCACCACATCTTTTTTCCTAGCCAGCAAATCCGGCACCGTTCTTGGCCTCGGCAACATCTCCGCCACTGCACCAGTATTTTTGTCGTGAAACGACATAGCTTTTTCAGATAACCTTCCCTTCTTGTTCTTCTCGTTGCTTCCTTTACGATTAATCTTCGGCGATGGCATTTCAAAATTCTTATATCTATATAAATAAATGCTTGCTTTTATACGTATATGCCGGCCTAGAGTAATTAATCACCTGAGGCGGCGGTAGCGGAAAAAACGGAGGCGGGGGAAGCCGAGAGCGGCGGGGGAGAAGGGACTCTCAGGTTCCCGTCTGCCGGCAGCGTACATATATATATAAAAGCCGAAGGGTATTATACACTAGTAATTAATTACATGAAAAATCAATGGTCAGGTGCTTAAGGTGTAAAGGGCAATTGCAGAAAGTGTGGGCGAAGCAGTAGGGGTATTTATATGGGACTGGGAAGGAAGATAAGAAGATAGCTCTTCGAAGAAATCTGGATATTTCTGATTTCTAACATTGCATTTACCGGTAACTGGAATAGCCGGTTGTTTTTTATCAATAGAAATTTGCAAAGTTCTTGACAGTGAAACGTGGAGTGATTTCAGTGGCTATTAACGTGGTCAATTACGGCGGTCTGTTGGTTTACGTGGACTGAATCTAATCAGTAAAGAATAAATGCCTCTCCAGTCTCCCTCTACCTCGACCAGTTAAAGCTAGAAGAGTGCTTTCGCCGAATCACCGATCTTGCTCAAAAGAATGATATTATTTGCAGTCGCTCACTGCAGCGATCGTTCTATGTGACACACACATGTTGTATCAAATACACACTTGACATGTTTGTACCTCATAGGGCGACTGTTGCAGTGAACGACTGCAAGTAACATTACTCAAGAAGTTAATTTACATTAAACAAAATTAAGTTTTTTTTTATCCATACTATATCAAATATTTATAAAATAATAAATATAAGGACTCTCGTCTTTTACTCATTTGCTTTTTATAAATCTATTATGTGAAACTCGTAACAATACTGCCAAACACCGTAGTTGATTTAGAGACGTGATGAGATAGAATGCGAAGTTGACATTGAAATAGACTCGATACAATTTCACATTTTTGCTTGGTCGGTCACCATACCTCTTCTCTACAGAATTAGGCATGCCACCATACGTGACAAGGTTTTTTTTTTTTTTTCAAACAGAGAGATCAATGTGTCCCATGAGCTCAAATTATGATTTGGTATCTAACACGACTAATGGGTGGGACCTAGGTCGGGCCGCCCAAATACTTTTTGAGAAGTAAAGTGTTAGGACGGACAAATTATAAACCTCGTGAATTGCATTTGTGCAATTGTGTGCAAGAGCAGTCAACATCCATCGAGCAGACGTGCTTCGTGTGTGTCCACAGCACTTATTCATAGGATGGAAATTCTAGGGTGTATAAAATTTGAATTTTATTTATGTTTTTTTTCCCCATCGTCTTACTGTTTTTTGTTTATTTTTTAGAATAATTAGTTTATTCCGTACTATTTTTCTTTTTAGTGGGGCATTGTTGCAAAAGCAAGTTGGCAAATTGAATATTGCCAATGATTCAATGTTGGTGTAATTTGTCAGCCACTAATTTTTTTACCCTTTTAGATATTATGGTAATAGTAACCAGTGCTGCTTAAGACACTGTGTAATTAATAATATTCTGTTGATTGAGTAACACACATGGGGTCGGTATTATTTAATTCAAGCAGGACCCGCGGTGCAATGTGAGGGTCGATCAACCAAGATGGCACCAAATTCGAGTAAAGTGGCTTTACTCTTCTAGATTTTACATATATTAGAATGAAATGAGCAACACGAGCAGTGTGAAAGTCGTGGTGGTAAATGTCACATCAATTATCTTGTCCGTGTTATGCCACTGCCAATTATCATATTAGGGCATCTTTTGCCCGTTGTCCTAGGTTACTAGAAAGACAAATCTTTTGCCTTTCCCAAGATCCCCACGAGCCATCTCCGTTGTATGGATTGAGTACGTATGTTCCCTCCATTATAGGCTTACCTCGTATAGAATGAGTTTGAGCCAAAATGGGCGAGGTAGAAGCTGATTATTGGCTTCAAATAAAAACTTCCAAGCCTATTTGAGCCGTTGGGCAGGTTAGGCAACCCTTGGGGGTCCTTGAGGTTCGAAATGTCTATTTTAACCTTTGGCTGATGCGAGGTTGACATGGACATTTTTTTGCTAGGTGGGGATAAGGTCCACGCAACGTCCACTTGGGCTTCATGAGGTGAAATTGTAACGATCTTCCAAGTGTATGACCGAAGTAAATTGTAACATATGTTAGGTCTTTCAAGGGCCTCGCTTAAAAGGCGAATTCACTTGGATTGGCAGCGAGCTTTTGCTTTGTCTACCTTATCTCCACGTATATATACTCAACCTAATAAACAAATACGAACTCACAACATATTGGAGCTTATGAATGTTTGGCCGAGGCAAGGGTCGGACATCAATAAATAGAATGACGCTTACGATCACCCAAATATCTTTCAAATTACAAAGACCATTTTTTGTAATAGTAGCAAACCAAACATGCTCACTACAAACTCAAAATGCTCGAAGAACGCATTGTAGTAGGGATGGCAATCGAGCCGAGCAGCTCGACTCCTGAAAAAACGAGCCACGAACCTCTCGACTCCTGAAAAAATGTATATATCTTTAAAAAAAAAAAAATTAACGAGCTCGCAAGCCCACCCATGAGCCACGAGCTCCTGGGCCGAGCCGAGCTCGACCCGTGAGTAACTGCTCGGCTCGTTATAAACGAGCGTGCTCATGGGCATCGGCTCGGCCCATTGCCATCCCTACATTGTAGGCAAGAATGCAAAATGCCAAAAAGTGTCCGAGGAGGAGATGGTACTGGTTTTGTTGATGTTCATCTAGGTGAACCTCGAGCATGCCATAATTAATTAAGTTAATCCACGAACAAAATTGCGAGTTGAAGCCCAAATGACTTTCTTTCTTGTTAAGCACAGGTAAGGAGCGGTAGGAAGGAAAAGAGTTGAATTGATGCTACGTTATCAAGAATTTAAGATAGACAAGATGGGGGATTGGTTTCGCTTAATGGAGGATACTTGTTTTGGGGGTTATAACTATCCTCGTCCGACATGATATTGTCATATTGTGCCGAGAATCAACTTTAGAAACACCAACCACCATCCTCAGAAGAAAGAACGCAAAGTTTGTGTCTTTTACCACCCCACTACATGTCAAAAATAATAGAACTTCGAAAGAAAAAAAAAATTCAAGAAATCCCATTGTAACTCAAGAAACCATAATAGACCTTCAAGAAAAATCAAGAAATCCCATTGCAACTCAAGAAAATATAATGGGCCTTCGAAAGATCCGCAATTTTCTAAGTATTCTATGAGCAGATGCAGAATGTGACAGTTCAGCTAACTTACAAAGAGAAAGTTGAAGAAAAGTTGAGATTTCTCATAGCTTTGATAGAGAGATGGTGGTGATGCCGTGTTGGGTTGACTAAACCGCCCCTAGAAAATTGTCCACGCCCACAACAATCACGTAGTTGACAAGAAAACTGACGGTGTTCATCCATCAAAGAACTCCATTGCACATAAATGAAAGTGTGAGGATCTCGTCGTCAAAAATTGGGTTTGATATGGATCTTGCTATATATACAGAAAAAACTCGTACACTTTGATAGTCATTGGATGTCAGCCTACAAACACAAGTTTTGCAACCAATCATCTGCTGCCACCACTGCATCTGTAAAGAAAGCGGGCAAAAAATTCTGTACGAGCACATAAATCATGTCTCCAAGGACAATTTTACCTTTCAAAATAAGACCGAAAAGGCGCGCACAAAACTAATGGCCACATTGAACGGAAATCATCTAAACGAACTAACTGCACACTAGGTTATGGATCATTTGCACAAAAATCCCAGAACAATACGAATAGCTTATTGCAGAAAATGATAAATACAACGAATAATCAATTAATGAAAAATAAGAAAAAATATTTCCATCCTCCTGCACAAAACCTAAAACATACTATAAACACACAGGAAAAGATGGAGACTATCACACAATAACCAACTACAACTTGATCTTGTAAACACTAAATGAAATTGTATGAAAAGAACAATGCAAACAACATGCTCATTTTCTTGGCGCAAGACAACTGCTTTCATACCATATCTATGGTCGTTGATAGACATATTTTGTCCTTGGATCGACAATAAGGCCCTTCCCTCCATTTACTTCCAAATCATGCCTGCATCAATGTTCTTAAGGATAAGTTAAAAGGGATTCCTAAATTTTTAGGAGATGAAATTTGATATCATGCCACCGTATGAGGGACGAAACGAACAGGCACAACACCAGAGGTTATATAAGCCGCTTGTAACAAACGTGGCCATCTTAAAACCTCACTGCCTCTCGGTCATAGAAATAGCATATATAACTAAAATGAACAACGAAAATGATTAATCAGAAATGTGAGAACTCAACTGGAACACAAAATCTGGAATAGTTAATTGCTCACGGGGAACATATTTGAATAGTTGCAGAAGACGATCGACGTATACCACCTTCTTCCACACCTAAAATCAGTATCGAAAATTTTCATAAGCTACGGAGAAAGATATGAAGTTACTCAAAATTTAGTTTTGCTATTTATTTATTTTTTGGGAAGAGAACTGAGATCAGTCATACCACATTATCCACGAACATTTGCAATGCAAGAATTGCAGATTTCAGCCCAAAGGTTGGATGTAGAACATACATTGCCTACACAGTGAAAGGAGAAATTAATTAACATCCAGATGGGTAATTGCACAGAAAATCATAGAACAGAGTATGGTGGTTGGAGGAAGAATATTGCACAGCATACATGCAAATTACGCTGGTGTTTTCGGCCAAGTATTTGCTGTAATCTCTTCATCCATCCAAGATCTGGTTGCCTGTTTACACAAATCAAAAATATTGAAATAAGCCAAACTTTATAACGTCTGGTAAGAAACTTTATACCAAGAGCATCTGCAGTAGCTTAAAATTTTAAAATTTATCTTGTAAATTTGCTTACTAAGTAAATAAGTCTGTTTTAAAAATATTAAGTTTTTTGAATTTTATTTTAAAGTTGAAAGAAATAATCAAGTTACTAATTTGACAGTAAGGAAGAGTTACATCAAAAACCTTTTTAACTTTATGGAAATAGTAAAATATCCAACCATGTTTGTAACAGAATGTTATTTAAAGTAAATTCTACTTCTTTTTAAGCTAAGCCAAACATGCTATCATCTTTAAACTGTGGACAGTGAAAGTCACAAAACTTTATTTAGTGCCAGCCAGAACAGCACAAAAATCCATCCATCTTTCTTTAAACTTAAAGCAATTTTCAGATTACACAAATGAATTAGAGAAAAAAAAAATCTGACTTTTAGATCAAAGAAACAATAACCCAGTATAACGAAAATGATGCCAAGAGCAAAAGATGGCGAGGAAAGTATACTCACAACTGTAATGATGCTGCGGAGTGGAAATAGACAATAGAATAAGGCTTCTGTATCAAGGGCTCAAACTCCTGAAAATGCAATATTAGACATAATTATTTGCTGCAATAACACAGAGTACCGTTTCAAGGAAAAACGAAAGCAAGGCCATGAAACATTAAAAAGCATAAGAAATTATGAAAATTTTATTGAGAACACATGTAATTGTTAACCTTTACTACATACAGCACAAATCGCTCTAGATCAAGACATCTTAGCAGAACATGTGCTCCTACAACAACCATCACTGGACGACCTTCACTGTCAACCCCACCTCGGTAGCTGAAACAGAAATAAGTTGTCCACTATAACTTTGGGAAATCAATACAGTTAACTCACTGTTACTGATTTATGAAAATCAAACGGAAATGAAGAAATTACTTTAAACTTTTGGTTGCCAAACTTTAAGTGCAGAAGATAATGCTTCTCTGAGCTTACAACGAAAAATCCACCCAATTTTAAAATCAAGAAACAGTGCCCCAACAGGCCAACTAAAGTGATTAAAATTCACACGTGTTGCAGATTTACATGGGTGGGGAGGCCTCGTGAAGATTCCTGAAGTTGGGAAGAAAAGGAAAGCAACCTACAAGCTACACAGGACTTTGCCAGACATATTTGAGTTTAGCCAGCACATTGTAGTCTAAAGTAACAATAAGATATAGCACATAAAACAATCACGTTCTCAGAACAAATAAGACCACACAAGCGTTCAAGATAGTTTCCTTCAAAAATTTCATATTAGCAAAATTGATGAAAACAGAAGAAAGGTATCATAACAATCGGCATCTAGTTGAACACTTCTATTGATTTCAATTTTAGCAAATTGTGCTCCATGATGGTTACAAAGCTGAAAAATATAAGTTTAAGAACCTATTGGACTCAACACACCGAGGAAGTAAAGGAAAAATTAAGTGTATTGCATACACACACGGAAGTAAAGGAAAAATTAAGTGTATTGCATACACACACACACTAACAGAGAAATACGTAGTTGGCTTACACAATTTTCATTTCAGTAATTTCAGAAAGATTAAGTGAATTCGCTTTAGCAAGATATCTAGAATGAAGCGAATATTCTTCAGCAGCAGATAAAGGATGGCCACCAAAGTCACCATATCCAAGCATTTTAACAAAATTCAAACCACTTCGTGCTTGTGCAGCCTTTTCCCATTGTTCTTTGCGTCGCTGATCTGGATCTTTGATCAGGGACATAAATGCAGGATCCAGATATGAATCCAAGTATGATGAGTTCCTATTAAATGAGAAAAGAATAAGGTCATTCCAACTATCGGTGAATTTCATAAAACACACAAACAGAGAGAATCTTCTACACCAGTGCTATACAATTGACACTAGAACATGTGGAGACATTATAATGATATAAGAATGCAACACCAGATCAAATGAAGGGTCATGAACAAAGGAAACTTCAGTGTTGTTCTGATACAAAATATTAGTATTACCAAGACCCAGAGGAAATCCCTCTGAAGTTCAATACACACACCGGGGGGTGGGGTGGAGGAGAGAAATAAAAGATGGGTTCATGCAAACTCCATCAAGAGAAAGAGAGGAGGCTAGGTTGCATGTATATGGACACGTTAATTTAAATTCTTTAATATTGTAGATTTATATGTTCTATCTTTATGTTTATACTTTTTATCTTTTAATGAAATCAAATCTTTTCTTAGTTTTGATTCTTGTTATGTTTTAAATTGGATGAGTAGCTATTTATTACATTTTAAACTATATATTACACAGTCAGGGAAGCAAAATTACATATACTACAGTTCTTGGGAGTGTTCGAGGAATCTAAGTGACCGATACACATGTGAGACACGAACCTTTCACACCAGTAGGAGTGTCAGTGCATCATGGAGAGAGGACTATAAGATAAAAGCTGGGTATATTCAAACACCATCAAGAAGTTTGTCTCCATGAACCCAGATATGATCTTTTTCGCATTCCACTAAAAATTCTCTCGTATCAACCTCAACAGTGGCAATCTCGAATAGGGTAGTTTCAATTATGCCAAACTAGTCATTTCTCAGATACAAAAGATAATAATATGCTGATGAGCAATAAATGAAGAGGCCCATAAAATAACTTTCAGTATCTGAAGGACTGGGAGAATCACTTAGTACTGTACAGAGTAGGACAAATGAAAATGTTCTATCCAGTGCCACGCAATCCCATTTTTGATTCATCTTTCTTGATGCCAGATCACAGACAAATTTGGAACAAAGCCGTATGTGAAGAGTTTCACAAATGGATTGGGGCAGGACCACAGGGTTAAATGCGCACATTCAGCTAACCCCAAAGAATTTTGAACTAAAACTTACTTTTGCATTGCTCAGACCTATTAATGATACAAAATAAAGAGGTAGGACAGGAATTTTAAGTCACTAACCGTCTCGTCAACCCAACATCATTGACAGGAATAATATCACTGGCTGGACGATCAGCAGAGGCTTGAGAAAACTGCAGGCCAGTCTTCCTTACATTGGGCAATGGCTTTATTCTGATTTTCCGTTCATCTATAACTGTCTCACCATTTTCATCTCCGACATCTGCAGGTAGTTTTGAAATAGCCACCTCCTCCTCAAGTTTATCCCGAGGAAAGTAAAGTGGAAGCAATCTATATAGAGAAGTAATAAATGATTGTCTAACTCAAAACATAAAAATTATTTTATTCGTAAATAAAACAAAGAAATCTCAAAACAATAAACATTTTAGGAGTTATATGTAACATATGCATCCCCAGTCTAGTCATTTCACATACCTTTTATATATCTCTGTATCAGATGCAGTTTCGATACAAAAAACAACTGCTTGGATTTTATCTATTAGTTTCTCGAGTAAACGTCTCACAGTTCCTAACAAAGCAAATAAAAGTTAGATTTAAGATAAGGAAAAAAAATGTGAAAGGGGAAATCATCACAAGCATGCCCGAAAACATGAATTAGACCTAAAAGACATCCATAAGAAAAATTTATAACTTGTTGTAAGTGATAGGGGGATCTATTCAGATACACAACGTGTATTATAACTTTAAGAAAGTAGAAATCAATTAAGAAATCAAGAACACCAATTAAATACACAAATAAAAAAAATGTTCTCACTTATTGCCACATGAGCAGCGGGTTCTCGAGGATAATTTTTGGCTTCTGTGTATATACAGCCCATTGCAATGCTGCATTCATATTGACAAGAGTGTTGATTCAATATTTTTACAGATTGACATGGAAAGAAGAAAAACATATAAATGGATACAATGCATCAATTAAACCACCTCTGCAGACCATTTTCAATGAGAAGTTCAAGGCAAGACCGATAGCAGTGGCTCAGAGCATTCTCTGCAGCAGTATGATATTTTACCGCATACTTAGGACCAACAGTGTGTATAACCCTCCTGCAAATCACAAGAAATACAAGTATTGATTTAAATGTTATTGACTACGTAATGATAAATTTGCTTTTTTGAAGTGTCGTCACACTCCTCGAAGGCAAGGTAGATTAACTAGGGAATAAAATCCGCTCCAGAAAGAAAGAAGTTAATACGTCTTTTTAAAACTTTTATCCAACTTGAGCCAAGTTTTTCAAAGCTTGAAGCTTTAAATGACGCTAGTGGTAAAGCTGCCACATTCCAAACTAAGAATGTTAAACTTAGTAATGCAGGGTTCAAAGTAAAATTTCATATATGATACCTAGATTATATGTTATTAAACAAACAGAAATTAAGGGCAAAAGGTTACAAGTTCAAGCTCTCAACACATTGATCTCAAAAATCTCAATTGCTACATACTTTGATAACTGATGACATAAATATTTTTATGAAAGTGAATAGAGGTGCATTGCCAGTTTCTTTTCCTCACTGAATCCCACATGGATGCAACTAGCAAGAAGGATATTCTGAGTGTCTACATCACAAAACACTGAAGTACCACTAAAAACTTTTACGTAGTATGATAAACATTTGCTAAATATATTCACGTGGCTCAATACCGAACTAACATAAATAGAGAAATGCAGCATTATAAAGGTTTCTCCAAGACATAATATAAATGATCAACTATAACCTTAATAATTGAAATAATCATTCTTCATCAGAATATGTATAATATATATTAGTACGTTATCATTGAAAATATTCAACATGTATTTATTGGTTCTTAAAACACAAGTAATGGAGCAAACAAGGATAGTCATGGGCATAACACTTAACAAACCAACTGATCTACACACCTTGCAGGAAGGTCATACGCTTTAGTAACTTTTGCCATCCCTGTTCGGCAACCACCCTGTAAAGGAGAAGCATACTTTCTGCCTCAGTTCAGATTTGGACATAACTTCCAATGAAGCCTTTTGTTTTAAGGAGTGAAATGGCAGGTCAAAATTCTTCAAGATACCGCAATATTGTAAAATGTAGTCACATGATTTCCCAAAAAAAATGAATATTACTAGTATTTTTAAAAATTATTACACACATTCAGCATACCAACGGTGCACAACTTAAATGTGAGCATGTCTAAGTAGCTTACAAATGTAGCACATTCTTCTGCCAGACCAGGTCCAGCTGCAGCATGCAAACCAGGACTGCTGTGCGCTTCATCTAAGTTCTGTCACAAAAATATGTAATAATCAGGAGAAGTAGCCATCTCCAAAACATCTGGTTTGAAGCAATCAAATGTTGGGCAGTAGAAGAATCTCAAACACCCACTTGGATAAAATGAAAATGGCTTCAGAACTAAAGTGCATTTAACAGGATTGCATGATTTAGACTAAAATTTGCAAAATTAAGATTTCATTGGGATAAAAAACAGGCATCGCGTGATCCAGGCAAAAAAATGATTATATCAAGCTTACAAGCAATTTCAGAAAGGAAGGGAATTTGATTTCATGGAAAAACCAACCAGCTAATGATAATCTGTCAAAATCAGATAGCATGCATCGACAAATCCCTCTCTTGAACACTAGAAGAACAAGCATTCTAGAACCTTTTACAAATCCTATGCAAAAATAACGCATACATTCAAGAAGCAAAAACTCAATTTTGAAGCCCCTGTGTACAAAAGTAACAAAACTTAACTACTTCTGGCCAAGTGAGAGTTAATGAACATTAAGATTACAGACCAGTGAAGTGCAGAGTTATTCTGACTCTGAATTAGCATAAATAGGATTGATCCTACAGCTGCACCAGTCAGTAAAGTGCAGAATTCGTTTTCTTGTATATTTGATCCACCAGTAAACGATTATTGGTGGTGAAGACTGAATGGTGTCAAAAAAGATTGAAAGAGTTTTATGGGGAAATAGAAATTAGAAAATGATGTGTAACGTGTTTGTCCAGTTCCACAAAGTGCCACCCGACATGGTCCATGCAGGATTTGGCACATATCGTACCATACGTACTGGTACAGGCATTCAACTAAAGTACCTCTTAAGGGAGGTCTTGGTTTAAATCATTTGGAAATGAAATAAATCCACTTTGGGGCCCAACCCCCAGTGGACAATATGCATGGTGTAATACAGGCTGAATCCCATATGGACCATTTTGAGGCCTGGGGCTAAATACATTTATGACCCGTCAGCCAAACAATATCAGGACAAGAACCGCATAAAAACTTGCATTTTAATAAATAAAAGGTCAATCCAATAATCTCACGAACATGTGGATTAAACTAAAGCATGGAATCACTCATGCTGTAAATATGACCCGGTATCGTTAACGCAAATAACTACTCACCTCATTTGTCGAATTAACTACAGCATCCACCTCAAGATTCCACGGATTTCCCCTCCAAAGATATATCTTTGAGTTAATTTCGTGATCCACGGGAAATCTAGATACCATCCCATTCCCACTACTCCCTCCCTCAGAAACAGATGCCAATGGGTCTGGAAAATGTGAATTTGGGAATGCAGGATCTTCTTTCTCGTACAAGTATCTATACTCTGCATCACTCCAACGTGGAACTTGATTAAGTGTCACAATGGAATCTCCATTATCTGTCGGTAATTCACCTCGGGTAGTGGTTGCGGCCCCAGGCCGATACATATTTATGACTCCAGATTCAAATCTTCACCAACTGGCCTCTTCAGCTAACAATACATATACCTTCTATACATAAAATTCGGAGAAACATATTAAAATGTCAGTTTCAACAATGCCCACAAAGTATTCTATACATAAAACTTAAAAATCCCAGCAGTAAACAGGAATTCAGATACAAAACATTAGTCTCAGTTAACATTAGAATTGTCATTAAACTGTAAATATTCACCTAAATCGAAATTCTTGATCAATGGAGGGACAATATCACCCTTTGTGTTCAATAAGACCCCAAAGAGGATGATAGACTCATTCCGTACTTAGAAATAAATCAAAAGCTTTCAATGAACAAAGGCGTTAATTTTCAATCAAAACGTTATCTTTACATAACTAGCTCAAAAGGTCTTTCTCAATTGCAGCTGAATCGGCATAACTTTAAACAAAATTTAAGTACTCAAAAGTTTTTGACATTGTGTATCATTTCGAGCAACAACAATCAGAGCTTAAACAAAACTCATCAAAAATTCAAACTTTCCAGGATTAACATAACCAATTAAACAATAAAACATACAAAATCATATACAAATGGATGTAGATATATAAAAAAAATAAAAATAAAAAAAATAACATGCTTGGACATAAATGAACCAAATTTATTGAAATTCGACCAAAATTTCATTTGTTAGCATACATATAAAGCAAATACATCTCTTCACATACAGATTAATACATGTACGTTCTTAATGTGCAAAATACCCGAGAGTAGAATATAGATTTGATGAAGAAGCGTGAAGAGTTTGTGAGAGAGAGAGAGGAGAAGAGAATGATTTCAATAATTGATGATAGACGGGTGTGCTTTGGTGGAATTTCTAATTATTTCTCTCTCTATTCTCTCTCGGAGTGAGGTTTTTGAGTTGAGTTGTGAAGAATATCCTTCCAATTTTATAAAAATCAAATTTTAGTAGATTTTAATTAAAATTGATGAAATATATAATTAAAAGACATTAACTCGATGAATAATATGGTTAAAATTAATTGTTGATTTTAACTTGAATTTTAATCAATTTTTTTAACTGGATCAAATATTGATTAAGTGTATTTTAATCATACTCTTTTTTTTTTCTTTTTCTTTTCTCTCATAAAAGAACCAAGGGAATTGGTAAGCTAATCCTGAAAATATACTTGAAAAGTGATTTTAGATGTTTTCCCAAAGTAATATTAATATAGTCAAAGGTCTAATACTCAAATGTGATACGTAAGTAGATAAATGTTATAAACTAGAGAAAAAAGACGAGAGAATTGAAAGAAGTCAACAGACTTATGTTTATTATTATATTGAGAACCAAAATCTCATATTTATAGGAAATTATTAGGAGTACAATAGTAATAATTTTTAAGATTATAGGAGTACTATTGTCACTTACTAACAAATTTATTATTTACAACACTCCTCCTTAAATGATACATTGCAAAATATTTGTCTCGTTAAAACTTTGTCGAGAAAATTTAGTGAGACAAAACTTAATCGAAGGCAAAAAAAAGTACAGTTGCTCCCCTGATTTTAATTCTTGTATCCATTCATCCTTATCTTGTACGTCAATATCTTCAAATAACACCGTTTTCATGCAAGATATTTATCAACATCTGATGATTGTAGTAACATGACGATTCAAAAAATAGCTATTGTTGAT